GGTCTTAGGATCGCATCTCTGCTTTTTGCGGATGATGTGGTCCTGTTGGCTTCATCGGAACGAGATCTGCAGCTCTCTTAAATAGAATCACACAACAGTGCTGGGCTGAAACACCATTAATGCTCAGATCTGGAATCAGCCAGAAGAACCAGAAGAACATGAACTTTTAACAGTTACAGAACTGACCCTGCCTACTTTTTCACATCACTTAGGGTCAAACGATCTGTTCCAGGGTCAAGTCTGCAGACATTGTTCCTCATCACTAATGTACAATCCAGCATGTCTGTGTGTTGTGAGTGTGTTCAGTTCAGGCATGTATCTAACTACCTCCTGCTGTGTGTAATCCAGACCAGTCCCAGACCAGTCCCAGACCAGTTCCAGACCAGTCTGTACATAACATCATCCATTTAATCACTAAATAATAAAAATATAATATCACTATTCACCTAAGAAGAAACTACAAGATGTGTGTTGCTTTAAAAACCAGTAAGTAAACAAAGCCAAACATTTCCTCAGAGGGATACACAGAGATGTGGGCGGAGCCTGAGGCAGCGTACACACCTCCACCTGCCAAGAAACCACGCAAGAACTCTGCAGAAAAAGCAAAGATCAGAGAGGTGATTGATGAAGGCACCAGAGGTAAACGTTACAGAAAACACAATCATCACAGTTACTAATATTCTGCTGTTTATGTTAAATGTTGTCTTTTTATTTCTCAGAGAGACTTATACAGGAGATCAAAAAGAAGACCAGGAACATAGAAGGTAAACATGTTTAATTATGTATTTATTTTATGATGAATCTTTAAAACAAAAAGTGATATTTTACCATGGTTACAGATGATGTATGACCCAGGGGATTATTAAACAGAATGTTCCAGTAACTGTGGGGATTATTTTCTGTTTTATGACAGTTATCTCTTCACTGTACTGGGGTCATTTGTTTCCTCCTCCATTAAATTAGTTACTTTTATATCATTACTGATATATACGTCATTAAAATACCATGTGATCGGTCCCTGTAGGGTCATTTTAGAATCAACTTCAAACATTGTTTTGCAGAATTGACCAAATTTAACCACGTAGTTTAGGGTAGAGTTGAGTTATTTACATTTTTATTTGACTGTTGAGGTGCAGTAAACACCTAACCTCCTATAATGAGTTGTTACAGGTGGAAATAATGAGTTGCATTTTGTAAAAGGCTATAAAATAAAATATAACTYCAACTGAAAGTAAACTGTTTGTGTTTCTTTAGACATCTGCATCTCCTGTGGAAGCCTGAACGTGTCTCTGGAGCACCCTCTGTTTGTCGGGGCCATGTGTCAGGGCTGCAAGGTAAAACTAACTTTTTCATTCCTTAAATGGGTGCAAAAATACTGTTTTATGCTCTTAAACTTGTAGTGTTTTTAATAGATGTATCTAAAGAAAATGCTAGAACTACAGATAAAAAATGTTTTTTTCTTTATTAATTAGTTTGTTATAAATGCAGTTCTTCCCTTAATGCCTTATTTACTGTGAAGTTTTGTACATCAGTGTGAAGTTTTGGTGGCTCCATGGAGCCAGAGTGTCCAGACTTTTAATAAACACAACAATGTGTGTTTACTGTTCTTCTCTTGTTGTCCTTCCACAGAACTCGTTCCTGGAGTGTGCCTACCAGTATGATGATGATGGTTACCAGTCCTACTGCACCATCTGCTGTGGAGGCAGAGAAGTGCTGATGTGTGGCAACAACAACTGCTGCAGGTGGGATCAGCACAGGCCAGGAGAAGCTTTAGAGTTTCACTCACAAACCGTCAGAATCTGACCTGAGGTTGTGTTTGTGGACCGCTGAGTCAGCCGGTTCACCAGGAACAGCTTTTTRTATTTAACCATGAAATACACAGTTGATTCTGGCTCAACCTCCTGACTGCAAACACAGCACAGATCAGAAGTAATGATAATAAACACAAACTCAAAACGTTCAAAACACCAGGAATAAATCTGATCAGCTGTTACAGAACTTAGAGACAGACTGATGTCGGGCCGAACAGTGGCTCCTCTCATGTAGGCTGTCGTGTGTTTGGTGGGAGGAGCCAATACAAACACTTCTTTTAAAGAGAAGTTAAAGGAGGAAGAGTCACTTCCTGGAGTTTATCCAGCAGCTCCAGCTAAGCTGAACATCCTTTCTGCAACACGTAAAAAGTGCTGTTATCACATGTCCATCACAGATTWACAGAATGTAAGAAAATTTAGTGTTCAATAACTGAAGTCGAGACGAAAACACAGAAATGAGGACCATACAACACCAGTGACTGGAATGAACGAGGATTTAATGCCCTTGATGCAAGCAGGAAACCAACGCTGACAAGAAGCTGGAAGTTCCTGCARATTTATACCTGTTCTTCAGTGGTGCGCCCTCTACAGGTGTACGGCTGAATCACAGGCACTCTGAACAACAGTTCCTACCTAATGTTTTATTAACGGTTTCTTATGTGTTGTAAAAATGTTTCAGACAGGTATCTAAACTATTTTAATCAAGACATAACAATAGTTAAACAATGGATTATAACAGTCAATARTTAAAAAGGAAAACTAAGAAAATGGTGTAGTGCTTTTAAAATCAGTAACTAACCTGACTAAAATACATTTCTTCAAATCCCTCTGTTCACATGACAAAATCATGTGAACAACAATAAAGGTTCAGTCTAAGAAAGGTTTTCATGAAACCTTATTAAACAAATCATTTCTTTTCTTTTTATTTTCTCACACTGCGTTATTAATAGACACTTTAATATATGGACTAATATATTGACTTTTAATAATTAGAAATTGCAAAGTTGTTTAGCTTTGTGTATTTTAGAATAGATCTGCTGTTGGCCCAGATTTGATTAATTTTGGGATGTTGGCTGATTCTTACATGAGGAACCATCTTATCTACCTCCATAAAGGTTAGAAAATAAACCACTTTCCCCTTTTGTTCTGCTGTGAGAGAGGGCTGTCGTCCAGTTAAAACCAGTTTTTATCAACACCTCAAAACATTGTTGAACATTTTAAAAACCTGTCATCCCTAAAACTAAGAGTTTCTTTTAAAAGTAACGTCTCCTTTAAGAATTCAGCTACWGTGATGATTCAAAGAAAACAAAAACAAACAAACTCTGAGCTAAAAACAACTCAACGTTTCAGCTTCAACTTGATGTTTCAGGTTAACAATAAGTAAAGCTTTATTTGTTGGTTCAGCCAAGAATACATGTTAGATGTTCTTTAGTCTACACACAAACACACACTAACTTTAATGTGTGTGTGTGTGTGTGTGTGTGTGTGTGTGTGTGTGTGTGTGTGTGTGTGTGTGTGTGTGT